TTAAATATTAAAAAGTTTATTTGCCACTAGTTTAATATCCATCATAGTTTATACAAATATGAAGTAAAGTTTTCCTTTCATCTCTATTGCATAAAGATATATTCACAATATAAACTGAAGTTTTATTTGAAATTATTTTTTAAGACCCAGAGTCCTTACTGGCATCTTTATTACTTGTGTTCTTGCGTCCAAGTATATGTGATATTTCAATTCTAAAAGCACAAAATAAAATCATTTCATAAATTTAAGTTGTTTGAATAAAATTTGAAGTTTTGTGTTATTTTTCCTTTCCTCACTGCATCTTAGAATAATGATAGCATGCAGATATCTCCCAATTGATAATATAATTTGTGTTTGGCCTCTTAGGATCTCTTCCTAGGATTAATACAGTAGGTGAAAAGTCTTGTTTTCTATTTTTATGTTCTTAGAGAACTCAAGAAAGCCCAGATGGCAAAAGCTGCAGCTGAGGAAAGAGCACTCTTCACTGACCGGATGGCCACTAGGTCCACCACCCAGAGTAATAGAACATCTCGACTTATTGGAAAGAAAATGAACCGCTCTGTCAGCCTTACTATATACTGAACTACTCATTTCCCACATCCCCCGAAAAACTGTGACAAGAGGAAGCTAGGTTGAAATCACTGCTAGAATCCAGTTTGCAGTTACTTTTTTGATTGGTGTCAGTAGTTCTACTGAAATACCTTTTAGGACTTTTATTTGTGAATTACAGTGGAAAGCTGTATTTTGACCATTGCTATGTCAGGCTTTCGTCCAGTCTTACAGGTCTGTCTTTTTTGTAGGATGTCAGTCACTGTTGGATGTTACACTAGCCTTTCCAGGGTTAACCACTGTGGTGGTGTGCTGCTTATAGTTTGCTATTGCATTGTAATAAAAGTTATCTTTCCCTGTAGTGACCTGTAGAAAGGACTCAAGGGCTTTATTTACAAACATATTCTCCCTTTGAAAAGGGAAATGCTAAAAGATTCAGTACTACTCAGCCTTCAATGTACCTGTGTGTCAATCTTATATTTCTTTCTTTTTAATTGTGAATTATACTTGTATATCGAACTGGGAGCACTTTGTAGGCATTGCATGAACCATGGGATGATAATTCCGTGGAAGTATTGCCTTGTGAATTTGCTGCTATTTTAGTTTTGTCTTTGCTGTAAAATTGTAGCATTAAAACAATCATCGTTGTTAATAGGCTTTCTTTTTGAAATAATTATGTGAAATGTATAGCTGCTCTTGATGAAAAGCAGTTATTTGCCCTTTTTTCTTTGAACTTTGAAGCTAGTGTGTTGGAAGAATGCACCTCCCCCCCAGTGCTGTATTAATGTAGTATAATTATTACTGGTTTTGTAATTTTTTTGGTAATGTCCTTCCCTGACTCTTTTTTAAAATGTCTGCTCCCTCGCAAGTTTTGTACTTGATTGTATTCTTAGTCTGTTTTTAAATGTTTTGCCCAGTTTCTCTTTGATATTTGTGTATATAACCTGATCTTGGTGATACTGTACATAGCTGTTTGAAATGCCAGAATGACTTCTGACATTCCAAGTTTTTCACAAAATATATTTTATCTGCAATTAGCCATTTGACTAATAATACTGGTTAACATGTTACAAAAAAAAATAGAATTTGTCTATTGTTTTCTCATTAATTTTGCTTTAAAACATGTTTGCACTTGTCTTTGACTTGTGTTTTATTAACATTGATTGGCATATTAAAAGTCACTCTGAGCTTACCTTAATTCACTAAATCCTTGTGTTGCCTATTTTCTATTTTGTCTCCATTATCACTACATTATAAAATGTAGAGTATAATGTTTATGTATAAAGTACTAAAAGCAGAGGGCACTTTTTTGATAGAATATGAAACATAGACTTTTTAATGATGAGATTTAATCTACATTTTGGGACTCAAGAAAAATTTACCTATCAACTTTTTTTGTCATTCTAAATATTTAATATTTTTATATCACATTGCATATTATGCATCTGACTTGCTAGAAATGTGGTATAATGAAATTTAAAACAGCTTCAGGTTAGTAAGTGAATATAATAGATGTGACTCATAACTTTATAATTTGGACTGAGTCACAAAAGAGAGCTTAAAATTGGGGAGAGTTTTAACTCTCACAAAATGAGACTGGGTTTTAAGAATTAAGAGTACAAATTGAAGTGATAAATGGTGCTGATTCTGTGACATCTTTTTTCTGATGTAGATTTGGAACCAGAGAGCAAGTAGTGAAGGTCTTTGAACAGATAAAAATGCATGTTCCAAGATCATTGTGGTTTTTTTTGTTTTTTTGTTTTTTGAGATGGAGTCTCACTGTGTTGCCCGGGCTAGAGTGCCGTGGTGTCATCCTAGCTCACAGCAACTTCAAACTCCTG